TCATAAACAGACCGACCGGCGTGCACTACTGTCACCGGTTAGGCATGGGCCAATTGTGTGTCGTCGATCAATATTGAGAAAACCCGAAAGTTGAAGCCAGACTGACGGCAATAATAAATTAACGAAAGTTGGAGAACAAATCGAAGTGCGAAATTATTTTTTAGACCCATCCTAATAACGCCAAGGATACGGAAGTGAACCTGAGGTGACGAAAATAAAAGCAAGTTGCCCTCAGCGAAGGACGAACCCACAGCATTTGGCGGCTTTTCCATCGGAAGCTTCTCGGGCGTTCCTGCACGTGTAATTCTGGGAGTGTTGCCGGCGCAACATTTAGCTGTGACAGTGACAGTGGCGCATAACTTTATTCCAGCTCTCGTCATGTAGCACGTGGTAGTTCATATTGATCTGCGGGCAACTGGCCAATGAAACTTCGCACGCTACCTGAAACCAACCCACATTCTGGGACGAGATCATCGCTGTGAACTGAACAAAAAAACAATAACAAAGGGAAGGGGGGGGGGGGGACTGCGATTTACTCAACAGTAAGTAAAACTTCAAAGACGTACTTGGATGCTCTATCTTGCCGCTAACGCTTTGGAGATTTTTCTGTTGCTATTTTGAGAGCTTGCCTTTTTTTTTATTTCAAGGTATGTAGCGCAGCCGTGGACAGTTTTTTCAACGCGATGAACTTGACATATCGCGTTCTATTCCGTGCAAGCCTTCGGATTACGCGACTTCTCAATTAAAAACAAACGTCATAGTTCTAGGCACAGTGGTGAATGTATTTAAACTTCATGTGCGCGGTGATTTGTAGCGGCCTTTTGTGCATGCAGGAAGTAATGTCAATTTATAGCGAGAAAGTCCGAGTATAACTATATTCGCAGCCCATTCACAGCGTGTGATGCAACAGCTAAAGTGACCTTTATTAGGACCCGAGGACCACGTACACTCAAGCCGATTCCCATAACACACGATTCCAATCTGGCAATAAAGAAGGAGGATGCGGCGTGATTGTGGACGTGCGCGGAGAAATAAAAAGTGCCTAAAGCCGTCACTGTTATGAGGGCTGTTGTACGTTGACGCTCCGTAAGGTGTAATGCAACTTCAACGTGATAATAGAGTTAACAAGATTAACCCGTGATTGATTGCGCGTACACAGTAACCTTTGAACGAACTACGACATCACGAGCTCGAGGTGCTTGTCAGGTGATAAAACCGGTGCCACTTGACATCTTATAGTCGCTCTTACGATGCTCTTGAAATTATTGTGAAAAAAAAAATAGCACTTGCGTATAACACCAGAACAGCTTCAAGATATCTGGTCTAGAAACATTTAAACGTAGCCGAGTGTCAGTCACAAATGACAGTAAGATAACTTCATGGCAATTAATTTATTTGATCTCGCCTTTCTCAGATTTAGCTGAACGATGTTTAAAGTCTTTCTTTTGTGTCGTCTCAGAAATGCCCACTGGTTGCGTTTACGCGCAAGGCAATTACCCCACACGTCATCTGAATCAATGAATGCGCGATCAGCTATGAAAAGAACCACCGCTTAATGGGAGTAATAACAGACTATGACTTGTCCTCGAGCCCCCACATCGCTCGCACGAGAGAGGAACTCACCATAATGAACCATGTCCTAAGGTTTCATGCGGAAAATTATGGGATGCATCTCTACGAGCTATGCTTCAATTTTATGCTGCACATTTCCTCGGCTTCGTGCGCTACAGCCTACCTGTGCACGGGCCTCCATCGAATATGATGTGGGCCCATGTGCTCAGATTTCGGTGCACGTTAAAGAACCTCAGCTGGTTTCCGGAGCCCTCCACTACGGCCTCTCTCATTGTCATATGGAGGTTCTGGGACATTAAACTCCGTATATCAATAAATCAAGCAATGAATCAATCAATCAGTCTTGACATATTGTATCAATGAATACTGGGCCACTGCGGCATCGGCGGAATCGACCAGGCAGATGAAGCAGCCCTATCGGCTCTTGATGCTGCCTTTGTGCAGCTATACCATTATCAAGAACGGATGCCGCTACGAGGCTCCGATCACTTGCACGAGAACTGGCGCTCGCTCAGTTGAATTCGATGGCATTTACCAACGCCTGTCTTCATAAGTTGGACCCACACCTACAGTTCCTTCTTCCACCGGGAATAACCAGAGCTGAAGAGATGCTGTTGTGCCGTCTGTGGCTCGAGGTGGATTTTAATGATGTTTATTCGTTTCAAATAGGAATGGCCAGCAGCCCGACATGCGACGACTGTGGCTGTGTGGAGACAGTTACCCATCTTCTCTGTGGGTGTCTTCACTTCAGTGCGCCAAGAAAAGAACTTTCGAAAGTTCTAGATAGGCTTGACTATCGCCAACTATCGTATGCAAGGCATTGAGAGCGTTGTTGCACTTCGGGAAATTGGTGTCAGAGATATATTGTAAGCAGTGTCGTCGATCGCGTTGTTCTACTTTTATTTTCTTTTAACATCTCTTTTCTGTCAACTTTTATTTCCCATACTCCCTTCCCCATCATAGGGTAGTCAGTCGGTCTGAGAACTGGCTAACCTCCCTGTCCTTCCTTTTCTCCTCCACAAGCCTTTTTGGCATGCCCTAAACACATTGCTACTTACGTATGGTAAATAAAAAAATACATCTTATTTCCGTGGCAGCAAAATTTCATGGCTTATTCTGCTTACAAGGTCACCAAGCGACATTCATATTATTAAAGTAGAGAACCTGATTGCGCTTTCCTAAAGGTATTTACGCCACTTGAAGCAATTGATTTGACCACAAAGCCAATCGTGCTGGTAAAACATAAAAATCTGCATTATTGCAGAGGAAGAAGGAAACGTTTTTTATATTATCTTTATAGTGTGGTAAACACAAGAAGAAGAAACACGTCACATTAATGAGAAATATTAATGGAGATCTGCTAGTTCAAGGAAATAATTTCAACTGAACTTTCTTGCCGCATGCTCTGAGGAACAGGGACTCCTCCCCTTTGTTTTTCTGTTTTCTTCCTTGCCATGCTGTGGGAAACTCTGAAGCACTGCTTCCCGATATCTTCGCAATGCGCTTTCTCATAATTCAGGCACTACTATACCAGTGTCCGGGGGACTACGCCGCTTGTTGCACGCTATTGAGAAAGCAAGGGCTGTGTTTGGCGCTTCAGCCGCCTTGGATCGCATTCGCTGTCGCCGGCATTGAGCTCTGACTATACGCAGCCTAGTACACCTGGGAGCAAAAATGTACGAACCATGGGAGAACTTGACTGAAATAGCTGTCTATGCTATTTACTGGCGAGCAGCTTGCTCCCGAGAGAATCGATTTGATGGGATTTCTGTCGAAACATTGCCCTGGCGGAATTCTTCAGAGAAATTGTGCCGACAGGAGACAGCTCGTCGCTAGACAGCGCGGACGGCAATAGTCCGTATACATTTGGGTGTCACAATATTGCCGTGTTTTCACGTTATACTAGCACTGCCGATGTTTGTGTTTGTTGAAGAGATGCTACAAAGAAAGGGCCTATAGAGATTGGTTATGTAGACAATATTCAGTTTGTTGCCCTTCTAGAGTAACGGGGTTGGATATAACTAAAATGCACTGAGCAAGAGAGAACATGAAGTATGACTGATCACAGTTAATACGCGCATTGCACGGTAGTTGTGTACAGAACGAACACTCATGTGATTTGCCGTCTAGAACCAAAAAAAAGACTCGCGTGACTTTCTGAGCGGATGAACCGTGCGGCCAGGCGTCAAAGATTTTAGAAGCGCTGGTGTTGGGGTGGCCGGGTTGGCGATTACTGTGCAGAATACATAATGTAGAAAGGAATCCAGGCAACACAGTTGACTGGACAAGCGCTAACATTGAACAAAACTTCATTGCACCTCGTGCGCTTGTATAAGAAGAATATGCGAACGAGCAAGGCAGAACGAAACAAACAGGATATGAGGTCAGACTGTTGTTTTATACGGTCATGGAAAACGTTCAACCAGAGAGATGGTAAAAGAGAGGAAACGAAGACAATAAAGAGGCAGGGCGCTTAACCAGGACTGGGCCTGATAGAGTACTCTGTACTGAGGTAAAGGTTAAGGGGAATAAAAGTTAAAAAGGAAGAGTGAAAAATCACTTCTGTCTTCGAGCTAACAGTGGTTCGTGCTTGACATCCTTGACGATAAGTCAGACCTGTGGCTGAAACTAGAGCAGCGCATTCGTTGCTCTATGCAACTTGTATGCCTACATGACTATGCCTTTTATGCAACTTGAATGACTATATAACTATGACTTCCATGCAACATGTGTGACTGTATGACAATGACCTGTATGCAACTTGTATGGGCGGTGCCATGCAGCCAAAATCCTCTCGACGGTGAAGTCATGGTCGTGCCACTAGTGTTCTTAGCAATGGACTTTTGAAGGCTCACGAGAACTGGATTGAGAGTGTCTAGCAGCTGCAACACGCCTGTAGCGGTCGATTTCCGCTTCTTGCTAGGCGGCACGTGGATAGCACTCACTGGAGCACTGACCGTGCTGACGACTCTTCAATCTCCTGCAAGGTTCAACAGCACGACGGACAAAGACGAAATACACATGAACAACACGACTAACACATTATAACACTCGTCCTGCTGTTCATGTGTCTTTAGTCTTCGTCCGTCATGCTGCTGAACCTTGCAGATGTGGCACCAACTTAGCCAGAACAAAGCACTCCTGCAGCACATTGTCTATCTTCATTCTTGAATATATGAATAATTATAAATATGGGATCGTGAAAACGTTTGGAATACCCTACGCAGGCGATGAGTGGGTGAGTATGCCGTTAGCAGGACTATCGAAGAAAGACATTTAATTTTCGGTGCAGTTCTCTCATGATATGTTGTTTTATACATAATAGTTTGCTTCGTGAAGTTATCAATAACTGCTGCTGTAAAAAGTAACAGAATATATGAGTGACGACTGAATGCTCAACGTGTGTGTGTGTTGTTCTTGAATCGCAGCTCGTGTTCTCCGGCGAGTACACCAAGGCCATGAACAAGGACTGGCACTCGAGCCACTTCTGCTGCTGGCAGTGCGACGACTCGCTGACCGGGCAGCGGTACGTGCTGCGCGACGAGCACCCGTACTGCGTCCGCTGCTACGAGCAGGTGTTCGCAAACTCCTGCGAGGAGTGCTCCAAGGCCATCGGTATCGACTCTAAGGTACGTTGCCCGCGCAACTTCCTGGTTGCTCACGGACTGTAATGCTTAGTCAGATCAGAAGATGATGCAAAGTTTGAGTTGCCACGCAACACAATCGATATATAAAATTAAATGCAAGCACGTAGTTACGTCTCATGTAGATACTGCAAAAGCGACTCGTACCAAGCGTTGTCCTTTATTCACGAAAGAGTTAGGTGAAACTATAACAAATCAACATGTACAGTGAATAACTCTTGGCTATCTAGAAAAAGAAAAGTACAATTTGTTGTGTATAACATAGAAAATGAGCCCCTGGGGCGATTCTCCTGCTTTTGTAGAAATAGAAAAAAAGGCGCAGTTTAACCTTTGTTGAATGTAATTAGCGATTCCCGAAGAAAAAAAAAACAAATATTGCCGATGCATTCATCATATGATGATAGCCCTTTCTTTTGTGTTTCATTCGGCTTTGTTTCTAGAGCGAAGGTCGTTCAGTGCAATTATCTAAGCTCGATTGCGGTGCTTGCACGTTGGCTTCGAAAATGTTTACTAGATATTCGTTTCTGGCCAGGTTTCATCTCTCAGTATCGCGGTAACCAGACGTCAGACCGCATTAACTGCGCTAAACATGGGGAATGGCAATGCGTATAAAGCGAAGATTGAGTGTCAATATGGCCATATGTTATATGATAATAATCTTCACGCGTAATACTAAGCTTCTTGTGGCATTCCAAGCAGTGCTGGAGTTGAACTCACTGAATTATATTGTCGGTAGAAAAAGAAATGTCGAGGTATCGTGTTATGCCACCAACCGTCACACCCATTGCATTCGCATTGGCGCAAGTTGATCATCTGGTTTATCTGCACCGCAAAACTTCTGGACGCCCGAAGCGCTGACTACAGTGTGTCCTCGGTTAACACAAGCGTGGCGTCGGCTGTATACACTGTGGAGCCCACCCTTCACCATTGTCTGTGGCTCGCGGTGCCTGGTTGCCGCTGTAAATGGGTGGGAGCCGAAAACAAATGACCTGGTCCCAAGGTAGATGCACCCTAACCTGTTCTGTCATGCGGCTTTTTGTAATCGGTAGCTGCGGAAACTCGTTCACGCATCAATACACCTGCTGTGGCGACGAGTTAGCTTTTGCTCACCGCGTTCAAGTTACATGTTTACAGCCTTGTTGGGTGTTTCGGGCTTGATTCGCCCGACGAAGTTTTTCACGGCTATTGCGCAAATGTTGCCGCAGTTCACCCGTCAGCGCAGTCACGCTTGCATTCGCAGCTATTCGGGGATAAACTGCATGCACGTAGACCTCACTTCGTTGCGCGTCTAAACATACAACGAAGCAAAGCTCGTGTAGCAGCGACCGTATTATAATAAAATACCTGGGGTTTTACGAGCCGGAACTATACTTGGCGACAACTTTTCTTGGTACTGAAGGGAAAGCTACGGGAAAGAAGCTTCAGCACATGTATCCCTACGGGAAGTGCGTAGTTCCAATTCGCGCGCGTCCAAAAAAAAAAAAAACACGTAAAAATGCAGTACTTTCTCGAGCGTCCAAAAAAGCCATAAATTAAATAATTACAGCTGTTTTGCTGGCGTGTGCTGCGGCCACGTAGAAAATGAAGGAGAAATTATAGTGCACGTTCAAAATGTGGATGTGGATGCTCTTGTGACACTGCATTCACTAGCGGTAAGATGTACGCGATTTTGCTCTGTAGCCTTCGCTCCAATGATAAGAAGGATTGTCGCCCAGATTTGGTATCAATATAATGCATGCCGTATATACAGTGGAAGTCTCCGGAAAGTTCGGCCATATAGTGTTTTCTATCCGCATTGACCTCGAACAGTACGCAGACCTTTATTACTTCACCTCTCGAGAAATACGACTGCCGCGGCCATGTTGGAAACCGCAACTTTGGGGTCACAAGTCGACCACCGTAGCTGAGTGTACTACCGAGACGTACGCGTTGACGATAGGAGCTCTGATTCATCGAAACAGGGTAACTTCAAAATATCGGCCACTGAACGCCCCAGAACACCTGAAGTATCAAAGGGAAGATAGATTAAGATTAGGAGGAATGTTGCAGTGGGTCAACACATATGCCCATGCGTCACACACACACACACACACACCCACCCACCCACCCACCCACCCACCCCCACACACACACACACACACACACACACACACACACACACACACACACACACACACACACACACACACACACACACACACACACACACACACACACACACACACACACACACACACACACACACACACACACACACTCACTCTCTCTTTCTCTCTCTCTCTCGCACGCACGCACGCACAAAATGAAACCCATTGAAATGCGGCCGATGGGACCGCAAACTGAACCTTTGCCATTGCGCCTGGCGGCACAATGCCGTGGCCTCTATTCTGTCAGGACTTGTTCAGATTATATTTGAAGATGTGACGACTGTATTTGAAAAGTGCGACATTTGTGTAATCCTAGTCGTCAAAATCTCACATCCTCTAAAATAAAAAAAAATATTAAAAAGGGAGATTTTTGTTTTTTCTTTCTTTATCATTCCTATGCACAAGAAATGAGGCTCCTTTCATGTACCTCAGTCACACTACGCATTATAGAAACTCAGGGTGGTCCTACATTCTTATTATGGTGTTCACCAACTGCGGGGTGTTACTAACCAACGCGAATTTTATTTTTCGTGGGCCATCCCGAGTCCCACGCCGTCCTTGTCAGAATAGCAACATATCCCGGATTTGTTTCGGACCACCCAAGTGGAAAATTTTATGTGAGCCAACGCACGCCCAACAACGTACCTTAAGCTAAAGGGCTAAAAGTTTGCACAAATCACACGTACAAGGCAAATTTGTGGTGGCTTGCGGTGGCTTCGAGAGGCCACTGCATGACACCACACAAGTTTTAGCTGAACTTCCGAGTGAAGTGTGAAAACTTTTACGAGTACATTATGCAGCAACACAAAGTGACGCAGACAGCACGTAGCCAGCTGAAGTTGTCCAAGAAGCCGCAACTATAAGCAAATAACGAATTTGTCTGAAAGATACCACAGTAAAGAAAAGTGATTTTACTCGTAGACGAAGAAAGTGTTCTGTTCTCGTCTCTTCTATCCCGCGCTGTTAAGCACTGTTTGCGCTTTTAAGGCGACAAAAGCACCGTTGAAATTCCTACGCGACACCGACTTGAACAAGCGACTGTAACAGCAATGTCACACACCGCGAAAGACAAGACTGGACCATGACTGAGTGTGCGCGCGTGTGCTGCCTTATGTGCCGTGTTTATCTCTCTTCCATCTCTCCTCTCTATCTTCCATCTCCCCATCTCCCTCCCATGTGCACGGTAGCAAACCGGCTGCCTATAGGCTGGTTAACTTCCGTGTCGTTCTTTTCTTGCTATTTTCCTTCCTTCTTCGTCTACCATGCAGCACCAACAAGCCCAATCAAGCACTTTGTTAAAGTGATTTTGCTGGCTCGCTTTAAGAATGCCCCCCCCCCCCCCCCCGCACTCCATTCCCGTCTCCACTTCCTCCATTCAAGAGTTGGTAATGCTGGTCGCATAAGCCGTAGTTTCATTATCTCAAAAGCAAGCATTCGATGAGCATGTTTTATTTTTTTTACTTTTTTATTAGGCTGGCAATTCCTCTTCATGAAGGTATTACATCCAGATTGGCCAGATCACGGAAATTATCCCGTAGTGGATGATACGGAAGAAAAGTCGCAAGGTCATAGTGTTTGTTGGCAGATTGTTTTCAGCAGTTTGCTTTTCGTAAACTAAAAACGAGGATGAACGTGTAGTCATTAGGGCTGGTGAGAGATAAACAGCTTTGCACTGGCTTATGAGCTACGACAACCGATGAGCGTAGCTAATTACGGAGAACGCAATGATCTTGTTAAAAAGACAGTGCCACGCTTGTATTTCAGCGTTAAAAACTTAAGTCGGAGATTGGTAAGAAAAAAAGCAGCCGCTTAAACCCGATAGCACAAATGTGATTATGTATGAGCGTTTGTTTTTAGAACAATATCACAGAAAAAGGACTTCGGAATACAGAGATGTATAGTGAGCTAGAGGGTACGAATTTTTCAGAGATTATTAGCATTTGAGCAGTTCGTGGTTGAATGAAAATTACGTCTGGCACAATAATAAAGTTGGTTTGACTGAATAGGAAAGGCAAGTAATATGAAGTTACCAGCCATAATTAGAGAATACGTTAATATTTTTCTTTTTTAAAACTTTGAATCTAAAATGCTGAAGATTCCTTGAATCTATGAAATATCCATCATTTCATTACATACTGGGCCCTCTGTTAAAAACTAAGTAAATGTGCGTTTAAAAAAACTAAAGTTATGTATAAATGCTTTCTGTTTCACATGATGTGGCATGTTGATGTTGCGGAGTGGTTAAAACATCGAGCTTCAGCGCCAAAGCCCAGGAGTTCAAGACCCTACTGCTCAGACGTACCAGACGTATTTGTTTGTTTGTTTAACTTTTTTCGACTTGTCTTGCCCGCTGGGCCGACGCCATGCATACATGTGTGCAGGAAGCGTAACGTGCCAGAGATAAAGCGCTCATTCGAAACCAGTCACGATGGATAGATAAACGCTATTTGCAGTTAGTAACTTTTAGAAAGTCACATGTTTTCTTTAAATTACGTTTACATGAATGAACTTGAAGCGCAACAAAGCGCAAACTTCTTTCTCTTTTCAGCCGACTGTATACTGTATTTACTCGTAAGTAACACAAGGGTTTTTTTTTTAGATAGTTCGCGTGAAGTCAACCCTCATGTTACAATTGAATAACAAAATGAATGTCTTCTTGAAAAATGCAATGACACATTTCTTTTGTTTTTTTTTGTATTGGAAGGCTGACTCTCGCGTTACATTCGCGGTCGTGTTGTAACTTAGTGAATACGGTATAAACCACGCTTTCCAGTCAATTGTTTGAAAAACTCCTATGTGCAATCCATTTACGACATATAGCTTTTTTTTTTTTCTTGAAGCATGAGTTATGTTTATGAGGTGAATGCGTCGGTGTCGCAGGCGTAAAAAAATGAAGTAGCTGCATCATGCACTCGGGAACAAGATGGAGGCCAAACGTATCAACAACAACGACGACAACAATGATCAACAAGGAACAATGCCAAAAAAAAAAAAACTATGCGATCCTGCGGGCGAAACTCACCGATATTGGCACCACTCTTCGTGCTTCGAGCGAAGCAGCGCTTTCTTCTTAGTTCAGTGGATACTGTTGGTTCTCATCGTAAATTCAAATGCTGGCCCCTGAGACTGATGATCTCTCTCTCTCCTTTTGCATATGCATTGTACATTTTACCTCGAAAGTTACGGCACTCGGTAAGCAAAAGCCTCCAATCGATCACTTTAAAATGAAATGTAGATACGGTGGTACTTTTTTAAATATTACGCACTAAAGGAGCCATTTTTTAGTTCGCGAATTGACATAACAGACGGTATATTCGTAAGACTTGAGGTTGAAAATTTGTGGGAAGAAAAAAAGATGTGTTAAAATGCTTTATAACGAAAATCACCATTTATTCGTTTTTTTCTCCCTCCTTTTTTTTTCTTTCTTCTCGATTCGATGCAATATGTATACCGCCAAGAGCAATGATATCGACCCAGGCTCAGCCGTGTATCGTGTCTCGCACAGCCCAAAGCTCTTCTCTGTAAGCGCAAAGAAAGTAAGGATTTCGAACGTCCAATATGTAAAGAGCGCATACAGCATATTGCGAATAAGTGACGAGATTTGTCTCAATAGCGCGGATACGAATCACCTTGGGCGTCCAAAAGACGTCTCATATTCGGAAAGATGGTTCTGGAGGTTCTTGTCCCGTTGCAATTGTAATGCATAAAGTAAGCGCTCAGTAAGTCTTACTATGTTTTAAGAATCTCCCTTTTACGTCGTTTACATGTTAGTAAGAAAAAGCATCCGATGGCAGCGGCAGAGGATTACGTTCGTATTCACTGATTTAAGTACTCCCGATAAGAAGCCGTCGTCTCGAAGTGCCTTAGAGGCATTGAAAACAAGTCGTTCTGTGCTCGCTACCTTCAGTGAGCCAAGTGGAATGCTTTTGGTGAGAAGCATTATGTGTTGGTTGGATACAGCTGCCGTTGTGTCGCATGTTCCATTCTTACGTTGACACGTTTTCTCAAATTGCTGCCATCTCTCACCTTCTGTTAGACTATCGGCTTGATAAGCCTTTAACAAGTGCACCGTACCCAACAGCTACCCACTCTTGCTTTCCGTGAACTGTTCGACATGTGGTCACACTGTACAAAGAATTGTTCGCTCATGTCCTTGTAAGCCCAGCATCGATTCTCTATGCGATGGCCACCATGATGAGATTTTAGTACCTCCATGCAGAAAAGTTTATCCTTGCAGCACTGTGTCTAAATGTTGGGTCACTGTGCAGTCGAAAATAGAGTAGTAGTTTCTGTGTTTCTGCAGACCTTTATTTTTATTGCATATCAGTTCTTCCTTTGTTGAAAGTGATAAACTGTAGATGCGTTTGGTTGGTCACTTGTTTTGCATTCTCTTATCTCTCTCTCACTATCTCTGTCATCTTGCCATCAGGGTCGTTATGCACAGGGGGGTAAAAAGTTCCTAGGCTTGCAACTATCCCAAGTATTCCTACGGGAGCATGGCCTGGGAACTTTTGATCCCTCTGCACACGAAGTCTGTATATTTTTTTTCTTTTACCTAAACAGCTACAAATTGTATTCCAAAAGTAGATCTACGAAGACACGAACATTTAAGTGCATTAGCAATTAGCGTGAGGAAGAGGCAGAAATTTCGGTGGGCAGACGGGATTAAGAAGTTTGCGGCTATAACGTGGGCGCTGCAGGAACAGGGCTGGGTTGACTGAGAAAACAAGTGCTAGACCTTTGTCCTCCAGGGGGCGCTGTCATGACGGCGATATTGAACACGGAAAGAAGGCATGCTTACTAACGCAGGTCTAAGATGTCCGTGTTGCTGCTGGACTTCCTGCCCGTCCTCCAAACCAACGATTCACTTGCATTTCCCATGCACACTCTCTCTACTTTCTACGGCCAGGTAGTTTTACTAGCGATTTCTACGAAGTCACTAGCTGGCTTGACGCATGTTGCTGAATACGACACGAAGTTTTCCTTTCTTTTTTATTTCTCCTCAACGCGCAGGACCTTTCCTACAAGGAGAAGCACTGGCACGAGGCTTGCTTCCTGTGCAGCAAGTGCCGGGTGTCGCTGGTGGACAAGCCATTCGGCTCCAAGGCTGAGAAGGTCTACTGCGCCGCCTGCTACGATGCCGCATTCGCCACCCGCTGCGATGGCTGCGGCGAAATCTTCCGCGCTGGTACGTACACATACGCGTATAGGTGGTGCATAATCCATCGCCTTTGTGACGTGTTTCCGGCTCCTCCATTTTCATACTTCAAGCACAGTGTTCCAAGCTACCCCTGTTAAACAGCAAAGTGGTCGCTGAGCTCTGAGAAAAAAAGATAAATATGTATTACTCTTTTTGACGAGTGTTGATTTGTAACGCATATGACACACTTGAAATAGACGTAATAGCTCCCTTTTGGGAGCCAAGGCTCCCCGAGAAGAGCGTAATAATTGGCTAAGGGATTTAACGAGTCTCTTTAAACAGAGTTCTTCACGGGACATGTCAGTAACCCCCATAAGAAAGAAGTCAAAGGAGTCTTTATTTTCTTACATTGGGGAGATTTACTTCGCCACCAGACATCTATGAACTACTCCTCCCAAGTGAGGGCGTCAAACGGCAATGGTAGGCAGGCAAGAACAATTCTTGCCTGCAAATTCATGTTAGTCTATGCGTTGTCGTAGTCACCGAATGACGTAGATATTCTCACAATATAGTTGCTACGACAATTATAGATCGAAATGTACAGTTACGGCAGCGATGACGACTAGTACAGATGTATGCCCAAAGTTTATCATCTGGTTTTAAAATTACATTTGTGAAGTAGCTTACAGCATCATCAATGTTCTAATTTTGCGCACTTATTTTTTCACGGCAACCATTAATCACGGCACGCATGAACAGTGGTCAGAAACAGTAACATGTACACTATACAATGCAGCTTAAAATATTAAATTTCTGAATTCAAAATGCTTTTGACGACAGCAAAACGTTATCGCAGAGATTTGGTATATAAGATAGTGAATCATCGAAGTGGCTGCGTTACCATTATAAATCTTTTAAAGGAAATATTTGTCGATGATTGGCCTGCTCGGGGAATGTGGTTCGCACAGTGATGACGTCAATCAGTATCACGTCGCCTCACTTATAATTTACGATCTAGGTCCACCATCTTGATTCACAAAAAAAAGAAGGCTTGTGAAGTGCGTGTGCTTGTGGAAGCGCAAATCACTTGAAGCTCAAAGCACATTCCAACAGGGAAGCGGCGGGAAGTGTTCATGCTAAGGAGCAGTGCAGCGCTCGGCGACGAAGTCGCATGGAGCTAGAAGAACACAAGACCTAATTAATTAGGCTGCACTCTCTACTGGGCGGTTGAGGGCACAGCGATGCGCTCTCAGTGTTCTCGTTCATTGTGGTTGTGGTATAACGCTGCGCCTTACCATAATTACGAGTACGAGCCAATTTGCCCACCTGTCTGTTACCGAGCAGACAGCGTGTACTTTCACGCGCCGACACGCTTCTTAGATCCTTGAAACTGTATACGAACAATAGAGAGGGGAAATAACTAAGGGTAGGGAAGTAAAAAGACGGCTCAACAAATTTGCTTGTTTTAGGAGACGAGGAAAGATAGAAATAAAATTAAGAAAGTCAGTGAAAGGAGGTAACAATGTGCGCGTCCTCAAAACCAAAAAGAACAACAACAAAGACCTTGACACAACCTCATTCATTTGGTTTGATATTTTGTTTTGTTATAGCACCAAGCAATTACTTTATTCTTGAACAACGTTGCTTGCGCTTGTTAACCCATATTCAGTTTCTGCATACTGTTTGACAAAGACATATGCCGCTGATTAACTTTATGGTCGTATGCGACAAACACCTAGCGTTTCAGGGTTCAGCGTGGTTTGTAGACGTCAGTGCAGTTTGATGACCGAGCAGTAACCGGTCGCCAAAAGCCTTTAATCCCGACGACAATGACCTGAAACCTTCTTTTTCTTCTCGGCTTCGGGATTCACAGAAACGCCCCGCTTTTGCCGTTCTCGCGTTGCCACTTTCTTTGTTTATACAATGCGCCCGCCGGCACGGTTATCTGTAGGGTGCGAACCTGCTCGATGTCTGCGGCAGGGTGGTCGCCGTTGGAAATAGGACACGGCGCGAAGATTGGCACACGCGCGATGAGTCACTGAGCGAGGCGTTGACCCCTTCTTCTTTTCTGTCTTGTTGGTAATAAATGCGCATGGGCGTGGTCAAACGATAAGTCTTTCGCAACTCAGCACAGAAAAAAAATGAAAGGGTCGAAAGGAACCTGCGAGCGTTGCGCCACTAAAACGAAACGAGGAATGGTGATAACGCAAATCAAACAAAAATGAAATAACTTTCGATTCCTTGTAGCACGTTGGGGTAACTAGGCGGACGACCTCCAAACGATTGGGTAGACGAGCGTGGGGTCGTCGCCATGGTAACGAGACAGGGGAGGCGAGTTCCCACTTGGGGATAGAGGGAGTCGTAGAGAGGGAGAGAAAAGTAAAGATGGGACGGGGCCCTGTTTGATTCTTTTTCCGTCGCAAGGAGGACGAGGACACGCATGCCGAAAGGGTGTGGTTCTGCGCTGAGTGGCGAAGAAAAAGCAACGGGCGTCAGACTTGGCGGCGCGGCATCATATATAGAGAAGTGTGGCCTCGTCGAGTGCTTGTCTCGTGCGGTGCCGGCGCACTTTATAGGACCCCAGTGCCTTAAGCCATTTGCTTGGAGCCTGCTGGACATATTTTGGTGCACACCGAAGCAGCGCACGCACGGAAAGGAGCCTGTGGAGTGAATTTGAACGTCTGGGCCTTTCGTCTCCGTCACTTCCACTCCTCATTTCAAGAGTTTGCCACGTAGATAGGGGCAGGTTGTGGAAGAAAAACAGTCGGCGTCCTTGCGAAGCACGTTGCGGATAAGTTGAGTGGCGTGAGCACTCGCAGCAGCTGTCTGCTTCCAACGTGGTGCCAGTTCCAATTATTGGAGTTTCTCGTGGTGTTGTGGAGTACATCGCGGTGTGTTTGGCTGGTATCAAGACCTCTAGCACGCGGTAGGTAGTCAACTATTCACCGGCAGTGAACCTGCGTATCGACGAGCCGTGGCCACAAGCACACGAAGTGAGTCGCTCAGTGAGTTTGGCTACCGGACAACGCCCTCATCATCAGTCGGGCCATCTTCATGGGCCGCGAAGCCGACGAACCACCAGAGTCGTATCAGCCGAATGGTTAGTCGCAGAGCAGCTGTTTTTGTTAATGATGAGTTCACTAACCAGCCAGGGTGGCTCATTATTTTTGACATTGTGACGCGAAACGTGATGCGTGGCTAACTTGACCTGTGAGTTCGAAAGAGATACTAGTTTAGAGCGATACTTGTTTATTTATTGACGTCATTTCGAAAAGAAAGGCTGCATATTCTATTAGCGTCATGCGACATCTGCGAAAATTCTGGCAAATCCCTTTGAATATGCATGCACATGTCAAATAAGGAATGTACTTCATTTTATATGGAAGTCCGTTTCTCTTGTCGTGCTTCGTGGGCAGTGACATTGCGTCAAGCGTCTTGAATGCTTTTGAGCTATTTCTTTCATGATTTTTAAAACGAATATGGTACACGAGAGTGTACTTTCGTGCTTATAGGCACCGACATTTAGCACAATTTGTTCCCGATGAAACTTGTAATTAGTTGTTTGAAGCGAAAATGTATGGATCATCTCCCTGAAGAGAACCTTAACGGGTGTGAAGCAGCAGTGGTGCGCATGCCGCTGACCAGGCTGAAACGGACGTCGACGCGGGTCCTGGAAGAACGGTTTAAAACGAAACTTGGTGTAGCCTGTACTCGAGTAAACGTTTCTTTGAAACGCAAGGACATGGGAGACGGGCTGGGTTTCGTCTAAATTTCATGGATAAACGAGCCGAAAGAGCGTTTTCACTCTGTGGGCGCGCGAAGTTGCGAGTGGTGGAGAGGGCGAAGCGAGAGAGAGATGACACGCTGGGAGCGGTGACAAGCTAAGGAGAGTGTGACGTAAATGCGCGCGCACTGCGGGGGAAGGCGTGACCTTCTTGGCACCGCCCCAACACCTGCGGCCTGGGGAGTGAAGTGCGGACGGAGGGACATTGTTACGCAGGCTAGTCAAAGAGCTGCTTCACACGTAATATATTGAATTGTGGCAATTATGTCTCTGTCGACAAACGCGAACAGAGCGGAAGAAGGATACTTCGAATAAGATGTGTTGGCCAGAATTATAGAGATGTTTTTATACGTGCTGCTGGGGTCATTGTACTTATAATTACGCTTTTTTTCACCTTGTCGACATGGCCAGTCTGTTTATCGGCAACAAGGAGCTTAAAATAATCTCTTATAGAAGCTTCGCAGCAACTTAAAGGAGTATCAGGTGTGTTGACTTGGAAATGAACTTCATAAAATGCTCTTGGTAAAGCGATTTCATGGTGTTTGAAGTACATGTTACGTTCCTTTTTTCTTCCTGTGTGTGTTTACTTTAGAGACAAAATTTCGATAGGCAGGTGTATCGTTCCGTCTCGCAATGCTAGCGCTTTTTCATATTAAATTTCGACGAATCTTTAAATGCATTACTAATATCAACAGAGAAGAGTGGGTAATCTGGCTTGTCCAGAGATTCTCGGTGTGAGTCAAGTATATCCCTGGAGATGTTTTCAATCACGGAGACATAAAACGCCCGTTCAATGCCATTTCGTACATAAGAACAGATTGATGCTACACATATCCAGTGGCTCACCTATTCTCGCTTTCAAGTCAGCACCAGTGTTTTCAGAAACTACTCGGCAACGTTTATGGACTTTCGTGACTTGATATTATTTTTAAAGAAAAGAAACATTGATATTCCTAGAACCAAATTGGGAGGAAATCCGGAGAGGACTAAATATATGTAGATGTATATTGTAGTTATTGATAAACGTCAAGCAGACATATATATATATATATATATATATATATGTGTGTGTGTGTGTGTGTGTGTGTGTGTGTGTGGAATGAAAACACATAGGTTAAAGGGCACACCTACGTACGTCTGTACCTCTGTTCGTTCTCTTGTGATACACTATGCTATCAAGCAAAAACAATATTAGGTGATGCGCATCTTATCGCTTTTTTATATCTAGCGTAGGGTCTAGTTCCGCAGCACAGGCTTCTTAAAGATTAAGGTGAGATAGCTCAAATGACTGGAACGAAAAAGACGAACGTGCGCGGATGTGTTGCGATACTCCTTTTCCCCGCGAGGTAAGTGCCCGAATCTCCAATGCTGTAACAAAACCAAAACTACTGGGTCGGAAGATCTGCACTTGTCGCGAAAAAGATCTCAAAGTGTGTGCAGCTTGTTTCAGACGTCAGCGCTATCTCAATAATGTGACCTCTTTATGACAAACGTTCATCTTTTTTGTGTCGTCACCACATTGTGTTTTCTCTGCAGGCACCAAGAAGATGGAGTACAAGGGTCACCAGTGGCACGAGAAGTGCTTCTGCTGCTGCGTGTGCAGCAACCCGATTGGCACCCGCAGCTTCATCCCGCGGGACAATGACATCTACTGCACCGGGTGCTACGAGGACAAGTTTGCCACCAGGTGCATTAAGTGCAACCAGGTACGTAGAGGTCAGGCTACACACCTGTACGTTTCTTTTTTTTTTTCGATATCGCACTGTTCCTAATATTGCTATTTCCGCGTTTCAATGGCACCGCAATCAAGCTGACAAAGGGAAGGACTACAGAAAACAAATTGGCGCGAACTAATCATATCGTCAGCGCTGCTAGCCTAACCAGTATTAGATACAGCTGTGTTTTTTCCCGTAACATACTTAGTGAAGGAGCATGGCCTTTTCCGTAAGAGCATGTTACACTATAAATTCATAGGACCATGAAAGAAAAGAAAAGATTAAAGTAGATAGACAAGATGCCATGATTGAACGCCGATAAATGAAGCTCTTCGAAGGTAGCTGGAACTACCACGAAAAACATCCTGCGGCGACGTTGCTCGCGTCGACGCCCCCGCACGACAATCGGGGGCACGCTGTACAGAAGGCGCATTTTCGGCACGGTGATTGTGTCGAAAAATTCGAGGTGAGCGTGCGAACTCCGGCTCGCAGCTCTTGCCGACCGCCAGAAAAAGGCGCACGGAAGAGGAGAATAGACCAACAGTGCGCTTCTCCGTTGCTATGACTAGGCACGAGCGGGGAGGCTCAGCCTAGAAGCCACAAGCGCGCAACAATAAGGCTTTCTGCAGCTGTACAATGAGGGGTATACTGCTTCATAGCTGATTTCCAGCAAGGATCATTTGAACAGGATGTGAAGCCATTGCTTAGCTCTGATATGGGCCGATGGCGACGAATTGTGAAATTTTGGAACAATATTCAGCAAGCAGCTGCAGCATAGTAGTGACGTTGTAAACAGGACAAGATTGAATCACTATCAAAGTGCGTATGTGTGCCTTTTGTCCGCTCACTTTAAAAAAACCCCGATCCATTTCCCCCACATGGGACAGCTTACCGGTCATTTTAAACTAGTTAGCTTCCTCGCCTTTCACATCTATCCTGTTTTCTTACCGTCGTAGCTTGAGAAACTCTTTGGTTAGCTGTATTCGTTAACTGTGGTGAAGCGCACCGTTATAGCAACGCAAAACTGCCTCAAAACTTTACTCCTCTTAGGGCGCGTTCACACTTGGCGTCGCCGCGTGGGCGGCGCGCAAAAGTTAGTCTGGGACCGATTCTACCGCCACCTAAAGCGGATCTGGTTTCCGCTTCACGGCTTTCTTGTTATTCTTCTTTTTCTTCTCCTCGCGTGGCGGATATTTAATGCAGGGGATTGGTAGAGTGTTAGGTGAACTGCTTTTTGGCTCAGCTAAATCAAACCACGTGATTTAACCAGCCAGTCGCACATTCAACATGGCGGCAAAGGCGTCGGTGGTGGCTCGCTTCGGCTCAAATCGCAAACTATACCCGTGAAGCCCAATAAAGCTTGACAGCCTCAAAGAGGACGCGTTTATCCAGACTTGTTACGATTATGATCGCCGCGAACACTGGAAGTAGACAGTGCAGCAGCAGCGAGTCGGCATACTCCAACGAGTCTCGCGCTTGTGTACAGCCAGATGAATCCGCTGCCGCAGCAGTCGGTGCGCTCGCTCGTGTCGTTTCTGCTGGCTTAACCCTCGAAGCAACGTTCGAAAAGGTGCGAGCTGTTAATTTGAGTACTCTGCGTGAATAGCTAGAATTTGGCACTAACTTTATCTCTCAGAAAGCAGTCAAATTAAAACAATTGTCAAAGTAGCGAAAGCAGCGGCGGTGGGTTGGGGCAGAAGAAATAAGAACATTTTCAATGCGTGCGGTCGTGGTTCACTGGCCGCTCTGGTGTTTTATTGTGATAGCAATTATATGTAGAGTCTCGGGTGTTTTTTTCTGCAGTCACCGCCATCATTCACCGTATATTTGTATCTATCTATAAGGGAACTCAAGAAAGAGAAACAAAGCCGCCCACTCTCGGCACTCAGTTCGTCACGACGCGCCGACGAGCGCTCATCTCCCAAGCGTGCTGTGCCCCGCGAAGGGGAGGGGGGGGGGGGGTTAGATGCTTGTGCGCGCGTGCCTATCCTTCGGTGGAGAGAATCGCGTGCCTTCGGCCTTCACCGGAACGATTGCGTTAGTTGCCGGGCCCACAAAGATCACTTCGCTCGCTGCAAAGGCCCATTTTCAAAAACAGTGCGCTTTTCGAACACAGCAAAGTAACCATTGGGGCACTTGTCAGTTCGCACCAAAGTATTGGTAGACTCTGGTTCGCACTCATATGCTTATGCTCATATGGTTCGCACTCATATGGTTCGCACTCACACTGTTAGCATACGTTTCGTGTCTCATTTCTGTTTAAACAGTGCGTTAAGTGTCGAGTGGTGAATACTGTTAGTTCGCTCTCGTTCTGTGTATGTTGTTTTCGTGCGTCATTTGTGCGTGAGCAGGGCGCTGCACGTTTCGATCTGCTTGCTCTTCTCAGCGTTACATTCCAAGATGTTGCTATCGCATTCAGTGCTTCGCCCTTGTGGCGAAACTGTAACTATTTCGTTTTCGCCTCAATTCTCAAGTGTTAATGCACCCTTATTGTTAAACAGTGTTGCCGGCGCTGCTTGTAGGAGTGCCACTTCTATCTTCACTGTGCTTTACAAATTCTTGTCAGGCCAGGTGTTCTGCATTGTTCACAACTAGACAGTCAAGCTATAATTATCACTTACACTGTAGAGCATATTTATTTCAGATTTAAAACATCGTTGGTGCATTTGTATTGTTTCTTTCTCATTTTCTGAAAGCTTTGCAGTGACATTCTTTTTAATTTGCCACAGCACTTGATTCAAATATTAGATTCATAGTAACCATTGTAGGGATAAATTATATATAATCCGTCACGTGTTCAAAACGACCTTCTTAACCCCTTTCACCTGATTTACCCTAGGCAACAATGCAGTATGCAGAAATCATGTGCTAATATGCATGGTAGCTGGTCAGATGCAAATGATACATTTTAAATATTTTCATCTTAACCCTCTGCTTTTGTCATAGTCTTTTTCTTCTCTGTCTTTATTATGACTTATTTATTATAAGGTATGATCATAGGACAGACACATAATGGTGAAGTGAAGGCACTAGCTGACTACTGTCGTGAGGATAAACACAATGCCTGCTTATCTCGAGAACTGAACGAATTTTTAGGTTTTTTATTTCTAAGTTACTTTAGTAGAGTACATGGCGTTCATAGCATTGCTTTGACTCATAACCATAAGCTAATAGTGGGTCCCAACTAAAATATGCTATTGAAAGCAAAATTAGGGTTAAAAGTGATACAAAAGAAGTTGGCCTCAATGAAAGGTAGATAAAGAGAGAAGAAGAGGGGCAAATAAAGTAATACATAAAGAGAAACACAATTGATAACACAGTTACCACGATTGTGGTACTGTTGTTGACATTAATAGCTTAAGCTACTTGGCAAACCACCCACTATGGACTTGTATGGGATCTAATATTTTGTGCATTGTTGTCAAGTGCCATCAGCTGCTCTTAACTGTGAGCATTGTATTTTGTGTGATGCAGATCATCACTAGTGGTGGTGTGACATACCGCAACGAGCCATGGCACCGGGAGTGCTTCACTTGCACCAACTGCAGTGCTTCGTTAGCCGGCCAGCGATTCACATCGCGCGATGAGAAGCCGTACTGTGCCGAGTGCTTCGGTGAGCTGTTTGCCAAGAGATGCACCGCCTGCTCCAAGCCTATCACTGGTAAGAACCACGTGGCCTGACTGCTCGACATTCCACCCCCCTTTTTTTCGTTACGTTGCACTGACTTCGAGTATCAAATTATTGATTCTCTGGAAATCGAAACATATTGCCCATAACCTGCTGTACTCATCAATTCTATGGTGGTTTTATTTACTGCACGCTAAGTCATGCTTATTTTAGTGTGCGTGTGTTTGCAAATCTGAAATTGAGGTGAATGCCCGCCTCCTTCACCCTCCCCACCATCCACACACACGCACACACAAAGAAAGTTGTTGAATTGATCTGGCAAAATAGTTTAGGTATTATTGTGGTTGGCAGCTGACACCAAGGTCTGCGAATTTAATCCCTGGCTGAGCTGCTGTTACCATAGTTCAATGGAAGAGAAATGCTAGAGGCTCCTGGATGTGGATTTAGGTGTGTGTTAATGAACAACACAAGTTCAAAACTTCCGGATCACTCTAGCACTTGTCTCTCATAGTCATGTGGATTAAAATACTATATCGAGTGTCTGTTCTCATGATAGGAAAACAAAAGTACACGGTACTCTTTAGGCTGAGTTCTACTGTGCCACATATATAGCTCTATTTAGGGAGATACAATAGCTTGCTTTTTAAATGTTGTGCCTCCCTCGACTGTTTGAATAAGGGATTATCATCTACAACATGAAGTTATCTTTAAAATGAGGTATATATGTGGAAAGTCCAAGCTCATCTAGAAGAGTAGCTTTTAATTTCTTTTTTTTTACAGTTTAGGCTTTGATAATCATAGTACCATATAGGTCTCACAGGGCAGGTATAAATGTGATCAAAGTTTGTCAATTTGCTTTAAAAACGCTCTTAAGTGTCTGTGTAGCAAAAATGGCAGAATGCATTGTGCAATTATGCTCCCCACAGGAAACCAAACTTCAGATAGGATTTGAGTAAACAAAATTTTTAGTAGTTCAATATAATAGTATAGAAGCCCAATGTAGGAGCGATAAAGCAAATTAGATTCACAAATGACAAATGATACAGTAACATTGCAATAACTAAATATAAACGAAAATCAATGGATTGTTTTCAGAAGACCTCAGAGAAATATTCTTTAGCAGAACCGACTTTTGGGCTATCCAAGAGCACAAAAGAATTGTTAAAAGCTGATGAGCACAAAAAGAGAGGCAGACACAGGGCAGGCACATGTCCTGTGTGTCCATTCCTTTTTGGTCTCATCAGCTTTTACCGCTCCTTCTTTCATTGTTTGGTTTAGTATGCTTTGGCACCATATAATTAATTTCCAGCACTTTGAATGCTATGAAGCAAGCTGCAGTCCTTGATATTCAAGAACATTAGGAGAACTTTAAATATTGCTCATTAACAATGTAGCAGTATAAATATTGCTCAATAACTGTGTAGCAGAATACACACACACACACACACACACACACACACACACACACACACACACACACACACACACACACACACACACACACACACGCACACACAAACACACACATATATAGGTACACACATACATACATCCTGTATTTAAAAAAAAAATAGCCGAAGGAGGTGTCATAACTTATTGATAATGCCTGATGCATTTAATTGGGCTGTTTGGATAAAATAAGGTTATTAATAGATAAATAGTATATATAAGTTCTGAATTTGGTTGCTTTATTTTAACCTAAATAGCGAGATGTGAAGAACTGCCTTGCATTGTGCTCCTGGGTAATGATGGCTTCACAATGGCAAACTTGTGACCATAACATATATCAAAATACTCCAGTCATCTTTCATTTATGATGGTTCACAACAAGTGATTGCCTTCATTGCAGGAATCGGCGGAACCCGCTTCATCTCTTTCGAGGACCGCAACTGGCACAACGACTGCTTCATCTGTGCCATGTGCACTAACTCCTTGGTCGGCAAGGGCTTCATCACTGATGGACCCGACATCTTGTGTCCCGAGTGCGCTAGGCAAAAGCTGATGTAACTGGGCAGTGAAACGCGAAATCCAAACGAAACAAAGTAACACAAACAACATGAAGCCTTTGATGCGCTTGCTACAATTCCAACGCAGCAAATTTGGTAGATTTTTTTTCATACGAAAAAAAAAGAAGAATGCAAGTAGCCGCCCCTGTTAAACAGAAACTTGAAAGGTCAAAACAGCAAATAAAGTGTATTATATTGCAGCCAGCTGAGTGCACTATATATTACTCTTGAAACGAGGAGTGATTTAGCACCTTTCTATAAGCACAGGTTTGAAAAGATATTGCCTATAACGTTATTTTACGTTGCCTGCAGCTTTCTAAAAAAGAAAATACTGCTAACGTATTTGCAGTGTAACGGAATGACAGCATAAATCATTCCACAATGAGTCATGCATAACACTGCACAGTTCTACTATAAGGACAAATGACATTTTGTATTTACACCTTGTTGGAGGAGACATTCAAGTGCACTTGTGTGAAACTTGTATTTGTTTTTTTTGTGGTGCCTTGAATAATGTTTCACCACAAAGAACTGAATTCTTTCTGTGGTGCTAAGCTTTGCGGAAGCGCTCAGCGATGCCGTCAACTTTTCATCTGATATAGACAGGTGCGGAAGCAAGCTGACCAGTTAACGCAGCACTTTAGTATGTACTTTCATAAGAATTGAAATCATAAATACCAAGGTTGACAGCATCTGCTGACGCTGTTGGTCAATATAAGGGGAACTGTGGCTTCATTTTTATTCCTACGATGTCTGCTTCTGAGTTGTTCCCTAGTAGGTCAATAAAGCTTGCTTTTTTACCCCTTGTTTACTTTTCAGGTGAGAAAGTTAAATGTTTTTGTAACTACAGGCAACAATAAAGATTTTCCCGCATGCACATCCACTCACTTCAAGTGCTTTAATCGTATATGCACTGCTGAAGATTCTATGCTGCCAAACAGCAGCTTTTTAGTTTTTGTACATTCTTACCATCGTAAATTTTCTTTTCTACTTAGTGAGAGGACATATCTGCATTTCAATTTGCTTGGAGGCTTGGAAGAAACTGGTTGTGGTGGTTAGTGAGATAAGAGGTCACAAGGTCTCTTTACGAGGGAGATAATGTAACACACCCTAAAAGGTTGAAACGCAACATCCACCCACTCGCAAGCATATCAACAAGTTCCAGGTATGCCTAAAGTTCAAGCCTTTACCGAGTCACCAGCATGGCCTTCATGATGAGGAAAATTACACAGCGCTGGCCGCCGTGTAAGTGATTGACAATCCGAATTTGTGTTTGCCTCTGAAGGAAGATGAATAGTTCTTAGAGGCTTTGGATTCAAGTCCAGTATACGCAGCACAACAGGTGTTTGGGTGTACATACAGCAACACCAACACAACTATCGTATATGCACTGAACTACTGCTTAGAGCGACAAGATGCCTTTCGTAACGTGTCGTGTGCCACATTATTTACTTGCCATATTGCTTGGTTTTGTTCATTCAGCCCACTATTGTACATATTGAGCAGAGTTTAATATAATATGTATCAGTGGACTAACTGTAAGAATTACACTCTGAATGCGGAGTGCTTTAACAAAAATGTGTGCTAGGTACTGCATTGTACGATGAAGAAGTTGTGTGTATGCTGATGTAGTGATGTCTTTTTCTGCATTGTTTTCATGCTTGACTCACTCTGATGATCAGTTGGAAGCGTTTGTGGTTGCTTATTCATTAGTACTGACAGTTTTATTTCTCTAGCCACTAATGCTTTTATTCACCGCATTACAATCTATGCTCGCTTTTCACAACAACTAAATGCAATGTGCCACATATGCAGCATTGTACATCAGATATGTGATACTACACTTCACACCTTAAATGCTTACCGCCGTAACAGCATTTTTTTTATCCTGGCTACTAAATTCTCGGTTCCTACATCAATGCTTTTCCGCATTGGCTATGGTGTATAAGTTATGAGCTTGAATTATACGAGCTGGTAGCTACTCTCTTTGGGAGAGGTGCTGAAGGGCTATATGTAATTAACAAGAATTGGAATGTGTCTACATCATAAATACTGATAAAATTAAAGTTTGTTCTGAGAGAAATGTGTATACATCTTGCTTTACTAGCAATTCAGTAATTTGCAATTAGAACCTTAGCTTATACGAATCACCACATGTTTGTTATTAGACTCAGTATGGGGAGAAATTCAGCTTAGAGTTTTATGTTTTCCTTGCATGTTAACCGAAGTGGGGATGTGCCAAGAATGCTTCGCCATGTTAACCACATCAAGGGGTACGCTTTACGCAAGTAGAAAACGCTTTTGGTAATTGAGCTATGGGGTCAACAGTGTGCCGACTTGTGGCCTTGCTATGCTTGTGAACTGTGCCTGATGCTTTTAAGTATGAGCGCTGAGTGAGATATATATTTTGTAGTCTTTGTTTTGCGTGTAGATGTCTCTATTCCGGTTGTGTTACTAACAATGTATGCCGCACATTTGGAGAGACGTGATGCTCTCTCGTAAATCGAATAAATTTCCACTGATGGTTCGCATGTGACCTATCATTTTACTGGACACTGGCATGTGCTACACGACCAATATTATTGCTAAAGCTGTTGGTGGCCTTTTAAGTGTGCCTCTTCTCAGCTATCTTTGGGATTCATGAAACTTATGAGTTTTCAGTTTACATAAACCCCTCTCACAAATAAAGCTTTGCCAGTGATTGGCTACAGTAAAATCGGAGTTTTGCTAAATGAGTGAGAACCGAGAAATCAGCCATGGTGGTGACTGGAGACGCTGATTTAGGCAAATGTCTGTTCTGTTCAATGCACCCCTTTCGACCCACTTTGATATATGAGCATGAATTAAAGGTTAGAAAGTACCTTATTGTTTTATTGTGCCTACAAATGCCTCTTCTTTACGCTAATGCCTAAATGCCCACAAGTGTTTAGTTTTTAACTGTTCTGTTAACGTGAAAAAATGACCATTTTTCATAGGTATCAATAAGAAATTTTGTGCTAGTTGAAAAATACTCCAGCACGTTGCATTCTACAGTTACATTCTGCAGTTACTTTCGATATTGGCTCTTTGCTCTACCTTATTGTTATTGCATTGGCTTTCCAATATTACGATTGCGATCCCACCTGTCGACTGCCCGCCGCCGCCGTCAGCCTATCGAGCCTGCACATCTCGCTGTTTGGTTTTCCTTGAAAAAGTGCACCTCCGCAAAAAGAATTGGCCTGCAACAAAGCAAACTTTCAAAAAACATTACTCTCAGGCGGGAGTCACGGTGAGCTGCCCGAAAATCTGCCAGACTAAATCGGCACTTTGAATACGAAGCAATTATTAGTTGCACGATGTCACGCTTCGACGTCGGCGACGCGGTCCACAGCCCTGCTGCGCATGCTCGCGTCTTGTGCCGGCCCAGGAAGACAGCCGCAAACTGTCGCTATAGCAGCAAATAGGAGATAAGACACCACCGGGCACTCATAAAGCCGAGAATGTGTAGTGGAGGTGCAGACGTCTCCCCCGTACTCGTCTCTCTCGAATACGGGTGGTGTGTATATATAAACGGCGGTGGGCACGTTCGGAATCGAGTCACGGATGTCTTTACGTGGCTTTCGCTTGATTTGACGCTTTGTTTGACTACAGTAGATGCAATGGAAGCAACAATACCTTCAAAGATAGTGGGGCGGAACTCCACATCAGCTTTCCACCACTAGTTTAAGGCAATGCTTCCCCTTCATTCAATTAGTAAGAATAACAAAGACGAATCAACAATTAGGCATTCTCAAACCATACCGAATTACGCAACATTCACGCGATACCCCCACCACTCTGCGGCACATTAAGTTGATTTCCCCGCATTGCGAGTTGCGGGTGGCTTTTTTTCTAATGTATTTCATATTTTGTGACATTTTAACAAAATGAATGAGTTATATGTTTTTGTTAGTTTGAGTATTTAGTCATGATTTACTTTTAATGAAATATCATTCAACAGCGAAGGTGTTTGAAATTGATAAAACTGTGGGATCGTCCGCACGAAACTGAATATATATGCTCCACAGGAGCCGCATGTGTGCAAACAGCTCCTAACATAGTGTAGCCATGCATAGTTTAGTACATCAAAGGGGCGGGATTATGAAGTGAGAGGTGGGGGAGAACACGAGGAGGACAAATAGTAGTAACACACCGGATGGCCTTGTATATTATGTATTACAAAGGGGATAAATGGGAGGAGTGATTTTTAGGAAGAGGAAATCGAGTAGGTGGCAGGATACAGCGTGACATAAAAATGTACGGTACAGCATAAGAAGGAGTGCGAAATAAAAGTGTTGGCCAAGTAGCTTCTAGCACAGCCTAGCCATGCAGAGTATATTGCACAGATCGAGGGGGTCCGAAAGGGAAGAGAGTGTGAGCAAAAGAATAAAGCATAACATATCCTTGTATCACGCAGCAGTTAGACGTGTGGGAAAGGGAAATATATGTGTGGCTGAGAGGGACGGAAAAACATAGGGAAAGAAAAAGCATGGCATAGCCTTGTAGATAACAGCATACAGTAAGAAAATAAAGTGAAGGTAAGAAAGAAGAGGTAGCAGTCTCTGCGTGTGTTTGCGTGTGTTTATTCCAAATGCGGAGCGTTTCGTATGTGTGAAAGTAGAGACACGATAGCGAGGTATGATGCGACGCAGCAGTCTGGAAGGTGAGGTGGTGCTGATGACGATAATGAGTGCCCATTCCTTCATCAGGAGTGGCGTAACCAGCCACGTCGTTTTTCTTAGATTGAACAACAACAACAACAACAACAACAACAACAACAACAACAACAACAACAACAACAACAACAACAACAACAACAACAACAACAACAACAACAACAACAACAACAACAACAACATAATAATAATAATAATAATAATAATAATAATAATAATAATAATAATAATAATAATAATAATAATAATAATAATAATATGTGCAGTTTAACGCCCCAAAAACCTTCATATGAAAATGAGAGACGCCATAATTAAGGGCTGCGGGTATTTCGACAATCTGGGTTTCTTTATTTTACACCGAAATCTCACAAGCCTACAACATTTTCGCCTGTATAGAAAATGCAGCTACCACAGCCGGGATTCAATCCCATGGCCTGCTGCTCAGCAGCCGAGTGCCTTAGTCCCTCGATCACCGCGGCGGGGCGCTCGTTGATTCAAGCTGATCCAAGAAGGGATGCAGCAGGAAATCTTGTGCAGCCTGTTTTCCACTGTGAACTGAAACGAGGCACCAGCTTATGGGGTTTACAAAGCAAAATAAGCAAGGGATGAATATTTGCGCATATGTTGCAAATTACATGCTTTATGTAATTAAGATAAGGAGAAGTGATGTTACGGCTATTAATCGCACAAGCTTTTGCCACTTTTGTTGGTGTAACTGCGATTACAATCGAGAGCATTCATGCGAAGTTATAATGATAGGCTATGAGAAATGTGCAGCCCCTACAAGGGGTGGAGCAGAGCACTGCGCATATGCACCATAAGCACTGCGAGAGGCGACTTGCGGCCACCCCAGTTTCAACTGACGTAATACGAAATGTCGTCACACCGTTAGTCACGCCCATGATGTGTGCCAGTGCGTGTGTGCGAAGGTGACATGTTTGATCAAACGGGCAGGCTTCCAGATAGTTACCAGTGCATCATTTTTTTTCGGCACCCAAAAGAAGAAAAAGGCCATATATTACAGAATAATCGTCTTTTCGATGTGACGCGCCCCAGACGCACGACACAGGGTTCTGAAAGGGCTATTCGTGCGGCCTGCCACTGTAAAGCTTGAAGCATTGACCTTTACGAACGGTATTTGTAAACATTATTTGTTGTCTTATTGCCTGATTATTGCTGAGCAAACGATAGAATTGGTGTAAAAGATGTATGTCTTAGACAACCTCTTGGTACGCACGCAAGCACTGTCACTGAACTGCATGCATTTAGTAATGCGTGGTGTTTGCACCTACTTATCTGTGCAGTAGTTCAGCTCCATTTGTAGGTGTTGTTCGGGCTGCATGAACGGTCGAGTATATTTATTACGTGCCAGATTCACACGTCATATCTCAGCTGTCACATAGCACAACATACAGCTTTCTTAAGGGATGGCAGTTCACAGGAAATAAACTTTTGAAAGTCTCGTTGTCTGCAACGAATTTTGCCTGGCATATGGGACTTCTTCCTTAATGGTACTGTTTACGAACTGTGATATGTCAGAAAAGCAACAGAAAGTTACAAGGAAGAATTTCCGGACCAGCCGATTGCTTTTCGCCATTCAAGTTGCGGACTGCAGGCTGGAGAAAACTTTTCTGGCTGCCTCTCGGTTCCTTCAGCCTGCTAAAAGTATCAGTTAACTTGTGCCTTCAGTATATTGACAGTAGACTAGCTACGGCAGGTACGTCATGAATGTGACCGCACGAGCATTAGCTTCATGCGGCCTACAGTATTCCAACGTTATGTCGGATTCTGAGCACAGTCACGTTGGAAAACGGCGAAACTAGTTTCCAAGGGCATATAGCTACTACAGTTATTGTCATAGTTTACGACATAGCCATTCATACGAGTCATTACGAAGCACCTTGACACGGCTCATGGGTCGGCTGCTGTACAGAGCACACCATTTACTTTGCTTCATTATCGCTCCACGGTGCCACTAGCTCAGTGCACGTTTTCTATGATAGTGAGGGAAGTGTATTTGAGTATGGAGTGATGTCGTGCTAATACAGTAGCACGACATCACTCATATGTGCTGTCGTTGGGTTGTCATAGTCAAAGCAGAAAGCTGAAATAATCAAACAATAAACAAAAAGTAGCTACGCACACCTCGATTTGTTTTTCGTCGAGGCTGAGCTAATCAGGGTTTCCTTTATATTAAAAATTTAAATAGCCATTCATTTGCGGGAATAAATTATTTGGTTTGCACATTAAATCCGATTTAGTCATTCTGCCCCGCGACTTTTCCATGACATGTTACTACGCAGTGGCTGTGTCAAACCCATTGAGGTACGGCACTTTTAGAGCTTTTTCAAAACCAGGTAATACGAATTCTAACTGCAAGTAGGCAGTACAATACGAGGGAAGGAGCATTAATCCATTAACGGCCCAAGGCTCATGCCAATATCTGAGACATTTTGAAAGTGCATTGACTTGCCGCCCACCAGTCTTGTTCGAATGGTTCTCGCACTTCGGCCTTCAAAGGGCCCTTAAACAGCATCGATTTAAAAGATGAGACAGCGCCGTGCCTTTTCTATTTTTTCAATGCCGGCTAGATGCAACAGATCCAGCCGATAACTACTCTCTTTTAGCCCTTTCCTGTTCTTGCCTACCGGCTAGCCTTCGGGTGTGCTTTGCGGCCATGGGGAAGAGAATGCCTCATGCAGTGCCTCGCGGCAAAATTGTATGAAGAGAGAGAGAGAGAGAGAGAAAGCTTTATTTGTGCATAACGCGGAGCATTCCAAATAGTCGGGCTCTTATTGCAGGGCTCCGCCGGCCCTAGTCATCATGTCTGCCCC